TTAAGTAACAAAGGTCTAAAACACAGTCCTTTATTCTTAACAAAATTTCATTGTTTCTTCTATCATCTTGAAATGCAGGTGAACAAATATATGGGCTGTAAAAGATTTCCAATCCAAATTATTCTAAAACACTTTTAGAGGAGGAAAAGGATTTGTCCGTTACAAACGACTGCATTGTAAATATTACTCAAATTTCTTTCTGAAGGAGATAATTTATTAAAAGTCACAGAAAAACCTCAACATTTATAAAATGATCATTACTGATTTGTTCATTTGAAGTGGAATGATTTCAACAGATATTAGTTTTAAAAATGCAACTTGAACTAATAATATATATGTGTATTTAAAAGAAACTCATAATCTCCTTATTTGAAAGCTGAATAAAGGCTTGAATTCATTGCCCAGTTGCTTAAAAAATTATATATCTCATTCTTGCTAAGATGTCGTTTATGGTTTCAAATAAAAAGAAATCAAACTATGATATATGGTAATTAAAATTGGTTCATTTTAATTGATCTAATATATGTCATTAATCTTGCAGCAAAAACAAACCACTTAAACTTTTAATTAAATAAGCACACAACTTAATTTACCCTCTTGCATATGCACATTCTCAGCTACCCTACTCTTTCTTCAGTTCTGTGCCAGCATCCCCCCACCTTCCCCAAACTGGAAAACAAACCAAACAAAAAAACATCCAATACTTAAAACATTTACAGAAAGGGCATGTTAGTTAAGAAGTATAGTCAATCTACTACTAGAAAATCACTCATTAGCACCATCTGTAAAAGACTACATATTTTAATTACTGTTACTAACCACCAGCATTAAAGGAGAATAGTACAAAATATACATTAGTCAAGCAAGTTGAGAAAGTAACAAGTAGAAAAATAGACCCAACACACAAAACCTGATATGAGGTCCAAATTTTTAGAATCAGAGCTAGCCTCATGATTTCATCATTATTTGGCTAAGATTATTTTTAAGGACTTATGTATTTAGTTCAATTCTTGATACTAATTCAAACTCTACTGGCTTCCTACTTAATCACTAGCTTTCACAACATGGTACTAGCAGTGAAATGTTTTACTATTCCCTGCAAGATATATCTTTATAGGTTTTCAATTTTCCCCTTTCATTCCCATTAAGAACTAAATCAACATTAATAAAAACATTGAGAATTCTGGGGTAAAGTGAAACTTGGGAGAGGATTTGAATAATTCCAATAGCTATTCATCGTGCTTCTTGCTGTAATAGATAAGTAATGCTCCATGATTCCACACTAAAAATACTTAGGTTTCTTATCATCATTATCCTGGGTCATGTGTATATTCCTTAAATTTGTATGACATCTACAAAGAAAAGTAGATATTTTGCCTAACAGAAGCTTTTGCAATAGTAAGACGGATAACAAAGAATCAGTTTCTAAGAAAAGTTGGCTTGATTTCAGGGACTTTATATCCTTTTCCACACCTGGGTTTAGGATTTGCTGAAAGCAAATCAATCTTTTATTCCCCTGAATTTAACCCATCCCAAGTGCACTTGTAACCACAGATCTTTAATAGTATTAGACAGAATTACTAGAACCTGTACAATTAACTTTAAAAATCTGAATTCTCAGTGTCAAAAATTAATTAAAATAAGGTAAGCCTATTCAAATTTTCAAAGAAATTCACTATTTTAAAGTGTGACAAGTAACTAACTTAACCCAAAAAAGGTCGAAAAAACAGACTGTCACAAAACTACTGTCATATTACTTGATAATTTTTATAAGCTGTTTTTTCATAATAGAAAAGAGAAAGGATTTTTCTTATGATTTACAACTCTCACCATTCTGACCTTTTATACCACCAGTGCCTTCTCCTCAAGTAGGATAATGTAAATGGAAGGATTTGTAAAGAGCTTAAAACAAAAACAAAATCAAAAACAAACCCCCTCAATAACTAACTAGCTTAAATTAAAATCTAGAGCACCCAAAGGACACAGTCATGCATTGTGAGGCAGCAGACCACAGAGACAGAATGAACAAACATTTGTATAACTATCGATTTATCACCAATGACTTGCATGACCATATGGTCACTGAATAGTTTATCTGAAATTCAAACTGCATCTTAGTTCTTGTTTCTAATTCAGCATTTTTAAAAAATGGATTTTGTATAATTAAAAGTTGAAATCATAGAGGTGCCTTTTTCAATCCTATTTCATTTATTAGAAATTTCCCTCTAGGGGAAAAATATTGCAAAAGCTTTCTTTTAAAAATACAAAGGTTTCAAAAATTAAATAAATATGTATAATATTGGAATAAAGATCAGGGATTTTTGTTTTATTTTTATAAAATTTCTCCCTTTCCTTCAATTATACTATTCAGAATTCATTCTTGGACCTATTAATACTGAAAAGAGATTCCTGAAACTGGTGAGAGATTAATTTACAATCTAGGATATTTAGCAGCATTAAACTTACACATTAATTTTGAAAAACTAGCATTTATACAATAAAACTGCAAAATTGTTTCACAATTATATTTTTATCTTGGTGCAAACTCACTTCAATCATGCAACAAGAAAAAATGCACATACTTAAGTGTCACTGTGGATTGCATGGCTGTAGATAGGTGCACCTTGTCCTTCTCCTGAAACCACCCCCACCACCACAGGTATTCCACAATTTGAAGCAGAAAAGTCATAGGACTAGGCCTAGAGAGTGTCTATGTGTACCTGTCTACTCACAGAAAAGCAACTGACATTATTAACAACTGCCATTTATTTTTCCCTGACAAACTAGCATTTCAAAATATTATTTTAAATTAGCTTTAAAAAGGAAAAAAGAAAACGAAGAAGAAATCAAATTCTTGTTAGAATGTCTTCGCAAAAAATTTCTGGAACAGTTTTCAAACAATATTTAGAAAATGGTATGAAAAAGATTTACTGTTTTCAAGTCCTTGAAGCTTAAGATATATTTGATAATCAAAATAGCAGGCCATGGAGAACAGTTTCAGCCAACTGTGGCGCACAGTGGCACATTTACAGAATTTTAAATATTTCTTTTAATAATTGATGTAGTCATTTTGAATCATTCTGCATAGGATATCAGGTGTGAGCAGATTGCATTAATGCTGCTTAAACATTTCAACTTGTCAGTATGGCCAACTCGATTTCGGAAATATTTGCAGTATTTTCCCATCGAAACAGTAATAAAGGCAAAATAAATATATGCCACTACTTTATAATCACCGCACATTAATGAATATTTTATGTCTTTTTAAATCTCCCTGTTTAATTTTAAAGGGTGAAATTAAGTCTCCTCCCCGCAATATGCCAATTATCTGTAAATCAAACAATAACTTGGCCATTATGCTCCTTTTTGTTAATATAAGAGAAGCTAATTTGAAAACACTGAATGGCATTTTTAGGCTACCTGCTTAATAGTCCTTTCTGCCCTCTTGTGGGAGAAAGTTGAAACACACCCCAATTATAGAAACTGGCAATTTAAGGGAAAAAAAGCAAAATTTTGGCTATAAATATCAATCAGAAAGAAAAAGAAAGCAGTCTATATTTATCCATCATGCATTATACTATTCTTCAATTCAAAAAATTTAATCAACAATAGAATGAATTTACCTCTTATTATCTTTGCTTTGTGGATTAAATGGGAGTTATTTTAAATTAAATTGTCTTATTTAATTATACTCACATATATAATTTAGCTTTTACTATCATGAAGATCCTATAATAACTCCAAGATGGAACCATATCAAAACATTATTTCTACTGTAAAAACAAAAATTACTCCTCAAGGAATTAAAATGTTTAATTTAGGTAATTTAAGGATGTTAAAAACAAAACATTAATTTATACATATTAAAAATCCAGAAAAAAAATCAAATAATCCAAACCTATGATTCAGTTTAGAAGTCAGATCAGAAAAAATTTTAAAGACTTTAGTTACTAGTCAACAAACTATTCAAGTAATCAATGAAGAAAATAAACTTAAAGCAATGAGTTATTTATGCCAAATTCAGACGCTGAAATTCCTTGACAAAATATGAAAAAAGGAAACCATTAACAGTCTAGCCATTACTGAAACAATTCACATACTTCTGGAAAAAAAAATGATTAGGGTAAACATGACTTGTTCTTTCAAGATGACATTAGTAATTATTTTAAGCAATGTAGTCTAAGAAAAAAACTGAAATAATCGAAGATTAAGCATGATTAATTTTCTCTGAAAAGATTAGTAGACAAATGATTGTTGCCTTCATAATATGAGGGGTAATATCACATAGTCACCATTTCAATGTTTCTAAACGCAAGTCCTGTCATAGCCTTAAACACTGTTTTTTCCCCATGGAGATAAATTACTAGCTTTTAGGTGGGTGGGGCCCAAGGCATACCAAGAAGATACCTCTTCTTTCTTGGGGGAGGTTCTTTTTTGAAACAGTGGCCCTGGTTAGCCCTGTTGAAGAAAATATTGACACTACCCACTCTTTTCAGATAATCTAAGCTAAATGACAATTTCCTACAGCATTTTAAGCATATTGCCCAAGGCTGGGATTGAGCTGCTTAAGAAAAGTCTTCTCAAATTCCCTTTAGAAACAGGCAGACTACACAATATAAATAATATATTTGAGAGTGACCTTTCAAATAAATTATAAGCATCCTCCAAAATTGATATTGTCAACAATTTCCAAATTAATATTTTGAATAATTACTATAAAGCCATGAAATATATTACATAATAATGAGTTATTTTTAAGCAGGGTTTTAAGTTGACTAGTTTAAGAATTATCAAGAGCTCCCATTTACAACGTCTATCTTTCTAGGTCAAGGCATTTAATATATCTACAGTAATCACTGATGCTCCAGTTAATTAAAATTAAGAACCCAATAATGAAACATAAAGAGAGTTTCCACTCAGAACAGATAAGCCCTCTTTAACAGGGTCAACATTAGCTATAATGAGCTACCTTTATTCCTTAGCTGTGAGACATAACTCACCTCTTGAATAGTACTGCTTCCTGAGAAGTTCAGGTTGTACTCCCGCTGGACTTCTCGGTGGGTGATGATCAGCATGAAGTTTTGATTTAATGACTCCTGCAGGGCACTGAAAGGGTTGAAAGAAAAACAGGGAACTCAGAGATGAACAAGTTCTAGCTTGCTTTACAGCTAGCTGCAAAAACCCCAGGAGTACCCTAACCTCCACACAGGCATGTCCAGGCCCAATGTTATCATATTTTCAGCTCCTAAAGGCAAGAGAGCATGCTGAGACAACCAAGGGGAGCTAACCTGTTAACTCCTTCTCTACCAAGGTGTTTTTAAACTTCAATTCTAAATACTTTGCATACGTAAGAATTTTCTACAAGTCATATGCTATTGTCTGCATATGAATTTCCTCCAAGACAACCAATCATCAATTATATCGAATTCCAACCATGCTACTAAAATATATACTCAAAGACTCTGGTTCAATTCCAAGTGAAATAGCTGTTCTGGAATAACAGAAACATGAAATTATTGTTTACACTCATTAATGTGGCACAAGAATAGAAACATGGTTTCCAACAAAATTCAGAAATTCTATTGAATTCAAAATTCTATTGAAATCTATACAACTTTAGTTGCTATACCAAAATTCCTTCAAAATAATTGTGGTTTCACTTAGGACTCAGCAATATACAGAATTCAGAAATTAGAGAATTCAGAGCAACATTTTTTAACCCTATGACAAAGTTCCAAAATGTTAGAAATGTGTCAGAACCATGAAGAGTATACGAAATTAGCCACACAAATTAAGAAACATAAGTCATGGTTCCATTTTTATGTCAATAATAAGAAACACTATTTTCATCAGTATTGAAAACAAAAATCTATCACTACTAGTCTGAATAATCTGTACTGCCTGTCTGTAATTTTGCCATGCCATACCTGATGCCATAGGAAGTGGCATCAGGAAAAAATTGGGGTGTGCTACACAGTTCTGGCCTTCATCATTCTTCCTTTGCCAATCTGTAACTATGTGATAAATACACATACCACATAAAGATTAGAATTAGGCAGCTAATCTGTCTGTCCCGTTGTCTCCCACAGAGTTTGCAGGTTAATTACAGACGAAAAATACCTGGGAAGTACCAATGTATATCATGAAATATTACTGATCAAAATCAAAGGAAATTATACCCAACTAAAATAGAGTTTCCTGAAGCAAAGACCTTTGTCATTGTATCCTTAGCACTTAAGCATAATGTCTGGTATACTGCAAATAAATATTTATTGAATAATGAATAAACTGTGAATTTCCAGAAGTCAAGAGTCTTATTTATCTTTGTATCTCACACAGCAATGTTACATTCTGAAAAACCACCACAGGAGTTAAGATTTTGATTCATTTACTTATCAACATTAACTCAATGTCTTGCATTATTCCAGGTGCTAAGGAAACCAACCCAAATAATACATAATTCCAGTATATGAAAAACTCATAGTCTAACAGGCGTAGACAAATATATAAACAATTATAGTGTAGTATGATAAGTACAAATGAGAAATTAAAAAAACAAAAGTACAATGGACATTGAGAACAAAGTGCTTAACTCCGCCTCAGTGAGAGGGTACAAGAATCAGGGGAAAGCTTCACAGGAAAAAATATGTAAGTTGAAATATGAGGGTTAAATAGGACCTTAGAGTTTATCACTTGGGAGAAATAAAAGTTTTGTTTTGTTTTATTTAGGGAAGGGAAATGGGTGACACTTCTTAGATAAGAAAATAACAAGTGGAAGAACATGGCATGTTCATGCACTTATTGAGTACCTACCTACATTCATGACACTGTTCTAGTTGCTAGGGATACAACAGTGAACAAGAAAAACATGGTCCTTGCTTTCATGAGACTTATATTCTACTAAAGGAGACAAACAATGATCAGGTAAATGAATAAATAATTGTAGAGACTATTAAGTGCTGTGAAGAAGATAAAACAGGATTATAAAATAAAAGGTAACAGAGGGGCATGGTGAAGGGAATTACTTTTAACAGAATAGTTGGGGAAGATATCTTGGAGGAAGTGACATATATAAATTGAGGCTAGTAGGACAACAAAGAGATAACAGAGGTCTGATTATGTAGGTCCTTGTAGTAATTGCAAAGGAAAGCCACTGGAGAGTTTTATAATGGGAAATGGTAAGATCTGTCTTATATTTTCATTTATACAAGATTACTCTGGCTGCTCTGGAAACAGTGAGCAAAGACTGGAGGTAGGGAAAGCAGATAGACTAGCCCAGGCTAGAAATGATGGTAGTTTGGACTACAGTGGTAGAGGCAGAAATGGTGAGGAGTTGTCAAGTTCAGAGTATATTTTAGAGGAGGAACTCAGACAATTTACTGATAGAGTATGAGAGAATAACATAATCCCAAGGTTTATGAACTGAATAAATAAAAGGATGGAATTACATTTAACAAGGAAAAGTGGAATAGGAGTGGGGTGAGTGGGGAAACTGAAAGTGAAGTTTTGGATATGTTAAAGTTTGAAATGCCTATTAGATATCCAAAAGGAAATGTAGGCCAGGCACACCTGTAATTCCAGCCCTTTGGGAGGATGAGGAGGGAGGACCGCTTGAAGCCAGGAGTTTGAGATCAGCCTGAGCAACATAGTGAGATCTTATCTCTACAAAAGATTTAAATACAAAAAAAACAAAACAGCTAGGCATGGTGGTGCATGCCTATAGTCCCAGCTACTTGGGAAGCTGAGGCAGGAGGATTGCTTGTACCCAAAAGTTTGAGGTTGCAGTGAGCTATGATGATGCCATTGCACTCTAGCCTGGGCAACAGAGTGAGACCTTGTCTCAAAAAACAAAAAACAAACAACTTTTTTTAATTTTTAAAAAATTAAAAATAAAAAAAAAAAGGCATGTACAGTTGAATGTAAGAGTCAAAGATCACATAAGAGAGCTTAGAGCAGGAGAGTTGATAGCATATAGTCAGTATTTAGACTTTGTGGCCAAAAGAAATCACCTAGGAAAACAGGTGACCTAGAGAAAAGGAGAGAGGTCAACATGGAGCCCCGGGGCACTCCAATCATTTGAAACCAAGCAGAGGAGGAGTCAGTTTAAAGGAGATTGATAAATGATCAGTGAGAGAAAAGAAAAATCAAGAAAGTCTACCATAAGGAAGCCAAAAGAAATAACTGTTTCAATCAGAAGGGCAGGATCAATTAAGACGAATGCTGCTGAAACATTAAAGGCAGTAAAGTGAGAAAAGCTCAGTGTGACTACAGTGATGGGTATGTGAGAGAAGTGTATTGGGAAATGACGCTCAACCAACAGGATGGGTCAGTGTTCAATATATGCATAGTAAATTAATTTGGGGTCAGAAGTGGCAAGTAATGGAAAGCCTACTTGAAGTATCAGGGCCCTTCATAGGTAGATCTATTTTACAACTATTCTCCAAATTTGGCTTTTGCTCTAGAGCTTAGCTGACATTCCCTCATGTCAGAAACATCGCACCATGTTCTCTTCAATCTCTGTTCATGTTGTTCTCAATCTTCATTCCTTTGCCCCCCTCCAAATACTATACAGGTTTCAGACCACCTTTCAGTCCTACCACTTTTATGTACTAATGAGCTCCTCTTCTCCTCTGTATTCTTATATCACATATTTCAATACTTAATTATAGCATGTCTTGTATAGTTTGCTTTGTTTCATGTGTGGATGCCCTGAATTAAAGACTATAAGCTTTTTGAGGGCAAATATCTGATTATTCAGCAGTACATCCCTTGGCAACTAGCACACTAGAAGGTGATTCAATTCAATCCTATAAGACTTAAATAGTTCTACATATTCTGAACTGCATAAAAAACCACTGATTCTCATTTTTTGAGCCTACCTATGAAATATCATTTTATTCATAAAATTGTGGTTCAGAAAGGTCAACTGTCCAAGGTCATAAAGCTATAAAGAAATGGAACTACCTTCTAACCTATATTTGATTCCATGTTCTTTACACCTTAGCATCCTATCTCCTAAGAGGATAGGCTACTTGGGAAATACAAAGATGAATAAGATTTCTGCCTGCTAGAATTTCACCATTCATTCATTCATTCATTCTTAATTGATTCCTATCATTTGTAATAATATAGGAATAAAAGACATAATCACTGACCTCAAGACTATTCAAAGAGGTTCAAACAATTAGATGTAAAGATTGTGAAGAAGGGAGAATATATGGAAGTACTATGAGGAAGACTGGATAATGATTTGATAAACATATATGGAGGATGATTTCACACATAGAATAATCTGAACAGAAATGGAGATTGGAGAATATAAGGAAAGATGTAGAAAGCAAAGAGGAAGCAGTATAAGGGGATGTGAAGAAGGGTTTGTAATAGAGAAAACCTGAAAAATATTAAGGATCTACATTATGGAGGGCTTCAATACTAGGCTAAAGAGCTCAGAGTTTTAGAATTCCTGATTATTATATACATCCTCCTTTATCTTTACATATGAATCTATGCATATGTTTAATATATTTAGTGCTTGCCTTTATGCAATTCCTTAGATGTTTCTTGATCTTGACTGGCAGACTTATGCAATAACTTTGCAGACAGGTTTGCCAGGATCAGCTCTGACTGCCAGACTACTTTAGAAGCACACCAATTTAGTCTAGTTCTGTTAATACAATTCCTGGATAGCTGTGGAAGAAGGTAAGTTGGCAAGAAAAATATTTATGGCTTTAAACTGCTTGGAAGTCATAAAGCCATATTTGAATCCCTGTCCACTACTTTCTAGTTTGACCTTGACAAGTCAACCATTCATTCTTTCAACAGTATTTACTGAGTGTCAACCATATACAAGGGCCTATTTTAGGCACTTGACTACTTCGCACATTCTCAGGAAAAGAATAATAATCCTTTCTTCATAGAATTACTTTTTAAATTTTAAAAAGCCAAGTCCAAGCAGGATTTTTTTTTGAGACAATCTCACTGCAAGTGGGAATTTTTATTGAACATTAAGTTGTAAGGTAACCTATTACAACTTACTGAAAATAGAACACTTTTGAGGGGTAATCTATACTTTAAAATCTTACAATGACAGTGAAACTTCAACAAAA